CACGGTGAGGGGAGAGAGAAAGCAGTAGGACAAGCTGGGGAAAGCGCTGGAGGGCTGAAAACGCTGCGGGGCCTCCACTTCAAAGCGCATTTTAGAGGCTCTGCAAGAGCTAGCCGGTGCAGAAGCCAGTGCCCTCCTCCGCGGAGCCGCCGCCCTCTGGTGGCGGCGTGCGAAAGTTACAACTGCTCTCTCGGCCCCGCCTCCCCGCGCAAGGCTGGAGGGCTGAGTTGCCACTCACGCATTCTGCAAGCAAGAAGCCCTTTGCGAGCTTCCACAGGAGACCCGAAACCTGCCAAAAGGGGAACTCGGGGTTGAGTGATCCAGGACTGGAACCTGGGACTCTGGATAGCACGTCCAACTGATGCTTCCAGCAACCTCTGGTGATCGCGAAAGCAAAAGGCACCAGACAATGAAGATTTTATTCAGGCTATTGCAATAGACAGATGTTCATTGGTGAGGACCATCCCAAAGAAAAGGGAGAGGCCTGGGGTTTTAGAAAGGCAGGTAAACAAGGGAGTCATTGACAAGTCTTTTATGGGAGTAGTAAGAAAACATGGAGATGGGTTTTTCTGGGAATGCACAGAGCAAGGGGAATCCTGTGCAGTTAGCTGATTCCCCAGAACTTAAAGGGGGTACGGGGATTTCTTAGCCATCACTGCCTTCTGGAAGCACAGGATTCAGATATAAACATAAATAAATATACATATAAATACTACATATATACATCTGCTATTACAGATGGAGCATGCTGCGGGATGGCTGTTGGGGAGCCAAGGGAAGTGGGGTCCAGGTCACCTATGTGTGAATTTTAGAGGCTGAGGCAAAATCCCAACTTGCAGATACCAAGACAGCAAGGTTGCCCCAACCTGGTTTCATATTCCCTCTAAGAGGAAAACCAGATAGTCACAGAGGAAGGGATGAGCCCAGCCAGAAGTAGAAGTCACAGCTTTCGGTTTTGTAGGCTGTATCAGAGAAGCAGGCATCACCGCGGTGACCCCCCGGGAAAGAGGCGGAAGGGTTCTGAAGGCACAGTGAAGACCCTCGTCAAGCCTCAGGAAGGGCCAGAAACCTGGCAGTTCTGAGATCTGGCTACCATGTCTGCTTCTCTGTGTGTCTGTGTGTCTGTCTCTGATGTGGGGGGACCCACTCAGTTACCTTTCCCCACCCAGCTTCCTCTCCCACACATGATCTCTACTCCCCTGCAATTTCAGCCAGCACACGGCCCCTTGGGGCCATCCCAGCCCCTGAGCCTGCTCTGCCTCCAGCCGTAGAGCCCGCCAGCAACTACAGCTTTGTCTGAGCCTGTGAAGACACTGCTCAGAAGACAGCCCGTTTTCAAGCCAGACCATGAGTCATTTGACGGCAGCTGGCCTGTGCCCTGCCCAGCCTCTGGCAGGCGGCCCACCCCGGCCCCTCAACTGGAGGTGGGGGGTTTCCATGATCTGCTTCTCACAGGGTCTGGGGCAGGACAGTGGCCCTTGGAAGGGTCAAGAGCACTGCACTGAGCTAAAGGAAATGAGAAATGAATTAAAAAGACTTGGCATGTGTCACGGAACACGATGTTGGGCACACCACTGGACCTCAGGGTGTGTGGGCCCATTGCTGACTTCCCGCAGCCTGTGCCCGCACTCTCCAGACAGCCCTCTGCACACCACTGCCATGATGCGCCCCGGGCTGGATCCTGGTCCATTAGATTTTGGGGAGGGACAACCTGACCCAAGCCCAAATATCCTGGAGAAGTGGGCTCTCACCGGCATGTTCGGGTACTCACCCGACAACTGTGCCCACCTTTCCACTGAACAAAATGGCTTTCTGGTAACTGGAGAAGGGGACAGGTGGGGCACTGGAGATGAGGGGACAGCAATGTGAGAATGAACGTCCTCACTGTACTTCTCTGCTATCTCCTGTTTACCCGTGCTCAGGCTGTTCTTCCGCCCTGACTGTCCACACCTCCCCCACAACCCCTCAGCAGGCCAGCTCTTCCTCTCCTGGGAAACTCAAGTTGGCATCCCCTCCCACTGGAAGCACCTCCTGTCCCTGCCCGCCCCCGCGGCAGCCCTCCTTTCTTGCTTTCATCCCTGCCAGCTCCTCCAAGCTCCAGAGTTACTGGAAAGACTCCCCCTGTCTTATCCTTAAGGGTCTGGGACATGGAAGGTTCAGTAACTGCTTCCTGGATGAACCAGTTGAGGGCTTGGGTTCGTCACCGAGGTTGCTTTTTCAGAAGGGGATCCCAGGACTGACTTTCCAATGTTTGTCTCATGACACAGGGTAGCCAGGGAGTGAGCCTGAGTTTCCACTGGCACTTCACCACATGTTCGCTGGACAAGTCACCTAATCTAGTTTCCTGATGCCCTTTTCTTTATCTGTAAAATGGGAATACTAGTGGTACCCACTTCAAAGAGCTGTTGTGAGTGTCCAGTTAGATACTGCTTACCACAATTCTTGGGACACTGTACGAGCTCATTATTTTATTATTATTACTATTACTATCATCACGCACCCCTTCCGCCACAGAACTCAATGCTGCCCCCAGTGGTTGTGCAGAGGAGATCCGTAAAACAACCGAGATCAGTAAAACAACCATCATTCCATCAGTAAAACACAGGCTTAGAATTTAACCTCACTGGGCTTCTGTACAAAGGTACACATTCCAATTTTTTGGAAAGTATAATAAAAAATGTATCAGATAATCTAACACACTTTGGTATATCTTTTCTAGTCTTTTTTCTTAAGAACATTAAATGTAGCTCTAGTCAGGGGCGCCTGGGTAGCTCAGTTGGTTAAGCATCTGCCTTTGGCTCAGGTGATGATCCCAGTGTCCTAGGATCAAGTCCCACAACAGGCTCCCTGCCCAGCAGGGAGTCTGCTTGTCCCTCTTCCTCTACCCTCCCCATTTGTGTTCTCCCTCCCTCTCTCTCTCTCATGCTCATGCACTTTCTCTCTCAAATAAATAAATAAAATCTTTAAAAATGAAAATCCCATTCCTGGTGTACAAATAAACTAATATTTGACATAATTTCAGTGATAAATACCTATGAGAAGTATTAAGTACTAAAAAGAAAAATAAAGGGAAACAGAATGAAAGGAGATACTATGGTCAGCAAGTGGTCAGGGAAGGCCTCCTGAAGAGGTGACATTGAGACCTGAGCTATAGAGAGAAAGAGCCTTAGGACATAGCCTTAGGACATATAATGGGGCTCCCCCTGTCTAAAGATGGAGAAACAACCCTGAGAAAGGTAGTGGCTTTCCCTAGATTACAAAGGTCCTAAGACTTCTCTAGGGGAGGGTGTTCCTCCTGAGAGTCTGGGCTCAGGGGATGTACTCCGAGGCAGCGGAGTACCCTCTACTTACATACAGCTGTGGTCTCACAGACCCTTAGCCCAATCCACTTGGCACCGAGTCAGCCCAAGGGCTCCTTTCCTCACCCCCTTCCATTTCTCTTTCTCCCTCATTCCCTTCTTCTCTCTCTCTCCCCCACCTCCTTCTCCTTCTTGTTTTTACAGTTTTTTGTCAATAAACACTGAACGGTATGTAAACGTAAAGGATCAGGTGAATGAATAATTAGAGGCCAAATGTCTGAGTGGCCAGCAAGAAAGCCAAGATAATGGGATGTTGCTGTTATCCCAGAAGCCTTCATGTCTCCCTTCCCACTTCCCTGTCCTTTATGGCAATCCCTTCCTTGCTTTTCTTACCATTTCACCATCTACATACATGTCCCTAAACAATATAGTTTTGCCGTTACAACTCTGAACTTTATATAATGGTGTGATTCTATACATGTCTTTTATGCCTTACTCCTCTCCCTCAGCACCAAGTTCACAAAGTTCACCCCTGTCGCTAGGGGTGCTGGTCTGCAAGGGCTGCGGTAACAGTGTGCCACAGATCTGGAGGGTAGAAGTCCAAGGTTAAGCATCAGGAAGGCCGCCTCCTTCTGAAGGTCGTGAGACAAGGATCTGTTCCAGGGCTCTTTCCTCGGCTCGTAGGTGTCTGCCTTCGTCCTGGGTCTTCACACCGTACCCCACTCCACTGCACGTGTCACCGTCCGAATTTCGTTTTTTTTTGTTTTTTTTTTTTTGTTTTTTTGAATTTCATTTTTGTATAAGGACATCTTCATATTGGCTTAGGGCCCACCTGGGTGACTTTACCTAGGTGAAGACAGCACCTCCAGATATGGCCACTCCCTGAAGCATGGGAACATATGAATGGGGGAGGGATACATTTCAGCCCAGGACCCGAATGTGACGTCGTTCACTCATCTTCATAAGCATATGATTTTCAGTCCTGCAAAGCATGAGGACAGCACGAGCTATTAATCCAGGCTCCTATGGGTCGGCACTTGGCTGGGGCCGTTACAGATAAAGGGTACAGTGAGTTTCTGCAGGGTTTACAAATAGCAATGGAACAACTGAGTCACAGGGGAAAGTTGATCTTCAGATTCAGAGGCTCTGCAAACAGTTTTCCAAAGTGGTTGCACCAATTTCTCCTCACTCCAGCCACAGACTCTCCCATCTTCATGGCTCAACTTCCTCAGCCACACCTGGCATCCTCAGACTTGTCCGTGTTACCTGGGCGGTAGTCTAGTTTGCATTTCCCTGATGATTAAGGGGGTAGAGGATGCTTTTGCATGGGCTCCTGGAGCTCCCGTTTTGTGAAGTGCCCGCCCAAGTTTTACTGGTTTTAACGTATCTTTTTGATCTTTTAATCTCTTCACCTTCTACCACGCTCACAGCAATTTTATTGTAAGGGCACAGTTACCACTTAACTGCCACTGGACTTTGGTTTGTACCATCCGAGTCACCCTGCATGGTTATAATAACTTGACTCTAGGAGATCAAGGCTAGGAGCATCATCCCTTCCTTCTCAGAAGTCTCTGGGCTCCTCATGCAAACATTCCAACTCTCTCCCCTCCAACTTCCCATCTGCGCCTGTGGACAGAGCTTCACCCCCTGCCCCAACTGCAGCCTCTCCTCCTACCTGATCTATCTCTGTCGCCCACACAGGATTATGATCATTGATGGAGATGATGTGCAGGTGTCCAGCATGGTCCCTGGAATCCTGCATGCTTGTAGTAAGTATGTCTTCCCTTCCCTCTTCTTGATGCTCTGCTGAAAGGAAGTAGAGTGACATTTACCGATCGTTCCCTGAGTGCCAGGAGGTAGGCCAAGGACCACTCACTACGCATTCATTACCATTCTCTTCTTCTTTCTCAGTTACAGACTTTATTCAGGGCAGTAATATGCATTCTTTGCTTTTCCTGCCTTCCTCTTTCCTGATGCCTGGAACTTGGAGCTCCCGCAGCCATTTTGGACCAAGAGTTGGGTAAAAGAGCCAGCTCTCGAGCCATCCAACCAGACCTTGAAAGGCAACTTGTCTCATGCAGCAGAGAAATTAACCTGTCACCTTAAAGCAACAGTGATTTTGTTTTCTATTATATGACACAACCTAAGGCGTATACTTAACGAAAAGTACATGTTTTTGGTTAATCATAAACATGTTTGCTTGAGCTAAATTTTCCTCCTTAAAATTATTTTTGCTGGTAAGTAAATGTTAATATGTTTGAGTCTCTACACTCAAATTTATATTTTTCAAACAGCCCACTGGGTTAGTTTTTCACACTGGTATGAGTAATTGAGACATGGCATCTCAAATAGCCAAGAAATTAGCATTCCCTCTTAGTCTTTAAAAGAAGTTGTCTTAAAAAAATTTTTAACAAAATAAAAGAAGTTGTCTTGGGGCACCTGGGTGGTTCAGTTGGTTAAGCGTCCGCTTTCTGCTGGGGTCATGATCCTGGGATCCTGGAATCGAGCCCTGTGGTGGGTTCCCTGCTCAGCAGAGAGCCTGCTTCTCCCTCTCCCTCTGTTCCCCGGCTCCTGCTCTCTCAATCGTGCTCTATCTCAAATAAATAAATAAAATCTTTTTAAAAAATGGGAAGTGGTATACACATGCATATGCACACACACACACACATACATGCATGCTAATGAACCAGCCGTATGTGGTGTAAGGGAGAATACTATGGATTCTGATTGTAAGGCTTGGATAATTCACTTGATCTGAGCCCGTTTCCTCATCTGAGAATGGCGGCCTAGCACATCCATGTACTGTAAGGACAAAATGAGAAAAATACGTATAAAATGCCTGCCAGAAACAAGTGCTCAGTCAATGGTAAAGAAGGTGGGTGTGTTTTAATTTTTTGACAGCTGACTTATTTGGGGCAAAGAAGACTAATCTGTCCCGTCAGCAGAAGGCCTTACTCCTTACTCCAACCACTTGAGTCACCACGACCCCGAGCCAGGCCCCTGGGGGAAGAGGCTACCGATGCCCTGACCCTGAGACCCTGGCCTGGGGTGGCTGCTGGGGGTCCCCCCACTTCCCCGAGGCAACAGCACCCACAGCAGTGAAGCCGAGAAGAGCTGGGTGTAAGTCCAGATTCAGTTCCAGTTTTTATTTAAAGATCCTAATTTCTGGACATTTATTTGGGGGATTCCAGGGGTAGCTTAAGCTCCTTTAAGACATTCTAAGTTGAAGTCTTTCCTTCACTTGGCTGCTAAAGTTTAATTCAGTCTAATTATTTCATATGGCACCGACTATAATAGTTTCATAATTTCTAGTATATTAAGCACTTAATATGTTGTGTCATTTGAAATCACATATTAAATTCAGCAAAGTACATTTTAATGAGAGTTAAGTGGTGTGAAAATATTAATACAATGTGATGGTTCATCTTGGTGCTCATATTTTGTAGGTCTGTTCCCAACGCACAAATGCCTCGCTCACCAGGTAAGCAAAGCATTTAGCTACCTGAGGCTGGGATGGGTGTCACGTGAGAAAGCAGTAGTCCTACCTTTTGCCATCTAGCACTTTACAGTGCGATTTCCTGGGGCACCTGGGTGGCTCAGATGTTAAATGTCTGCCTTTGGCTGGGTCATGATTCCAGGGTCATGCATCAGGCTCCCTGCTTGGCAGGAAGCCTGCTTCTCCCTCTCCGACTGCCCTTCCTTGTGTTCCCTCTCTCGCTGTGTCTCTCTCTCTGTGTCAAATAAATAAATGAAATCTGAAAGAAAGAGAGAGAGAAGGAAATACAGTGGGATTTTCCCATGGGGCCTCACCACCTAATAAAGCTAGTAGGGAGATCCTTACTTCCATCTTAGAGGGGAGGAAACTGAGGCTCACTGCTGGGCCTCGTCAATATGGCCCTTCTTGGCTCAGAGAAGGTACACCTCCCTGCACACAGCTGCTGACAGGGTGTGTCACTTCTCCCAGCTGCAACCTCACATAGAAAAACTGATAGAACCCGGAAGTTGGCAGCCTTCGCACTTGGAGAGTCTTTTTGTCCCTCCTTCGGAGGGTCCCTTGCACACTCTCAACCTAAACACCCTGTGCTCTCAGGCTGCCCTGGGAATGCCAGAGAAGAGGGTCTTGAACTAAATCACAGTGAACCCTTCAGAGAGCAACTGCTCAGAATAAGGATGCTTCAAAGGCAGGAGTTAAGGCGAGAGAGCGCACGCCTCCAAAAACCATCCAGTGGGACTCCTTTATTCCATCTGGGTGCAGAGTTAGCCCTTGGAGCCTGAGCGATTTGGAAGCAAATTCCAGTGTCACTCACTAGCTGTGTCCCTTTCCTCTCCAGGCCTAGGTTTTCCCCATCAGCAAAAGAGGAACAAAACTCCCTCCTGCTTATCTCTAAGACATGAAAAAGAAACAGAACATGGGAAGAAAAGGGCAAGGATTCACACTAAGCTCGGGGAACTGGAGTGAGTGAGTTACAAGCTGTCCCCTCCCAGAGACAGCTGCAACCGAGGCTTTCCACATCAGACCCAAGGCAGCAAAGCCCTCTGAGGGAAAACAGTCCTCATTGCAGCTAAGGAGGGGAGGGGGAACAAAGGAAAGGAGCTACCACGACAAAAATGTTATCCTATCGAAGAAACAGTCCCTACGGTAGCTTTAAAAAGAGGAGCTATTCTCACTTTTTAAAAAGTCTGATTCTTGGAAAATTAAGAAGACCAAAGACGAGTAAGGAAATGGTTATACATGGAGGGTTTTGGGTTTTTTTTAAAGATTTACTTATTTTAGAAAGAGGAAGAGAGAGCACAACAGGAGGGGCAGAGGGAGAGGGAAAGAGACTCTCACATGGACCCGTGCTGAGTGCCAAGCCTGACCCCATGACCCTAAGACCGAGACCCCAGCTGTAACCAAGAGTCAGATGCTTAACCAACACCCCCCAGGCAAGCCTACATTGAGTATCTGTGTACCTACTGTCAACTTCCCACGGACCCAGAACCTGTTCCTAACACTTCACAGGAAGCAGCTCCTCTAAGGTGCTCGGGCCACTCACATAGCCCTGCAGTTACTGTTCCAACAGCCCTGCGGGGCTCGCAGCGGAGTCACAGCCCCACAGGTGGGGAAAAGCAGATACGGACAAAGCTCCAGGCGCAAAAAAGAGATCTGGGGGTGAGTGAAAAGTGTGGTCCCCAACCCCCCTCCAGAATCAAGCTGGGAAGGAGCAGCACTGAGGTCAGGCATCTGGGATGCATTAGAACGGCTCTAACCACAGCAGGGGCTCCCAGCACAGGGGGATTAGGAGGCTTGGAAAGAGAAACTCCCTCTGGCCACTGGTGACCCTGCCTCTTCCCAGAGGCCACCCTCTGAGCTGTCAGTGAACACAGACCTTTTTCTACCTCCCCCTCCCCCAACCCCTGGCTTTCTTTTCGGGGAGGCAAAGAAGGAAATATGGGACAACTCCTTTACACTGGGGTGATTAGGGTGGGAGAGCATACTTCAAAAGAAATCTTAGGAGAACAAGGTTTAAGTCAGAGCAGGTGCTGCTCAAAGGGATTTCTAGGGCCTGAGGGGTGGGTTCTTCTCCACACCCAGACCGCCTGAAGTCCCGTCCTGTGTCTGGGCCCTTGGAGCTTCTGTGAACTCAGCACTTTCCTGCCCTACTATGCTGGGTAAAATCTGGATGCCATCAATGCCATTCGTGCCCAGGTTCCCAGCTGCTTCTCCACACCCCTGCTTCCTCCTCCCTCTGGTGGGGCTGATGGGAATCCCTAGCCCTTCTTATTTCAAATGAATGACATGTGGAAACAATCAGTGCTCCCAGGCTTCAAGGGAATACTATAACAATGTTAGAGAATCCTAAGATCTCATGTCCTCACCGACATGTTTTCAATATGAAACAGTCCATTGCTTCATTTATCCAGATTTAATTAAGGTTGGCTCTGATCTCTCCCACTCAGGACTGGTGGGAAGCTCCACCTCAGATGGGATCAAGAGAACCACTCTGCATCTCTTAAGGTTCTGCAGCCCAAGACATTCAGTGAAGTCTGTCGGGACTCAGGCCACCTCCGGTCTCAGAGTAGAGGGAAGACAACAGCTCTGAGGGCCAGCAGGAACCGGCTTCCCCTGCAGCTCTGAGACCGACAACCTACGCAGACACATATCGCTTGCCTTTTAGTGTCCATCCCCTTGGGGTATCTGGGAGCAGGATCCCCTTGGTTCTCTCCATACTGAGTCCCTCCATCCGTCTGTCCTCCAGCTTCATGCCACATCCAATCCATCTCCTCCCCTCTCATCCCTACCCTCCCCCTTCCTCCACACTGGGCCTTCAGGGTTCAGAGGAGAGTGCTGCAGGGTTCTGCAGGTCCCAGACCCTACGTCCACGGTAGCCCCTGTGGACTAATTCTTGGGGTCTTCCGTGCCCCAAGGATGACCAGAATTCTCCACCCTTCTAAAACAGAAAGCAGAAAGTGTTGAATGTTTACATCTTGCTAATTATAGTCTCCAAAAAAGTCCTTCAGTTACCCAGTTACAAAAAAAGAAAGAAAGAAAGAGAGAGAAAGAAATCAATCACAGGAATCACAGCATGCCAAAGCGGAGAGAGATATGAAAGATCATCTCTAGGACAGTTTCTTCACTCTGCAGAAGCTAAAACAGGACCAGAGAAATCCAGGGAGTTGGGCAAGGTCACAAAGACAGATGCGGGAAGGAATGTAAGAGAGAACTCAGATGTCCCTTCTCTATGTTACAATTGTTCAATAAGAAAAACAGACGAAAAAAACAAAACAAAACAAAAAAACGCCCACGTCTGGCTCAAAATAACACATGCTCCTGTAGCCAGAAATGGTGAACAACCCTGGTCCATCTCCTGCTGGTTTTCGCAATAAGGCAGTTATGAACCCACGAGATGTACCTGTCACCGTGACACGTGTGCGCATCGACTGTGACGAAAAGGCTCTTCTTCTAAATAAATGAATAAAAACGTGGATGCTAATTGAAGATTAGCATCATCTCCCATCAATGCTAATACGCTTTTTTGTTATTTGCAATTCCCTTTTGTAAATCTGAGGGAAACATCGTTGCCCAAATTAGCTGTTTTCGCTCAATAAAGGCCATATTAGCATTCTGAGGTTTGTGTTTGCTTACTGCTTATTTAGAAAGAGGTCAGATGAGAAGTTGGGCAGCCTGCACCTGATTTCCATTTCACTGAAGACAGGTGGGGGGAGGGGCTCCAAAGTCGCCAAAGGCCAGGCCGGGTGCTCCCTGGCTGTGGCTCTAGTCAGGCTCACAGTGCTGAGCCAGAGCAGGTCCACGGAGCACCAACAACCTCCACGGTGGTCTCTCCTGCCTGAAGCACTTGCCCAGATCCGTGAAACTGACTCAGGTGGCTCCCAGGTCTTCCTCTGCCTGGTACTGCCTGACCTGCCCTCTAAGGGCTGCAGCCCTATCAAGCAACAGCTCAAGCGTCCCCTCCCCTCCTGCCCACCTTCTTGCCCCAGTCACTGTCTATCCCCCAGGTTCTTCCTTCCCAGTCCGTCTCAGCACTGGACTGAGAATGCTCTGCCATGTTATCCTGGCTCCCTTGCCGGAACCGAAGCGCCCTGCAATCAGGCAGCAACCCAAACCACTGCCTATTGGACCCACAGCCCCACTGCTGACGTCCGAGGGGCTTGGTATTTGGAGAAGGCAGGCAGGAAGGGAAGTCTGAGCTGGTAAGGCCTTGGGGGCACCGCTGAGATCAGAGAAAGGGGAGGGGGCACCCCTGGTCCCAAATCTTTCCTCGCTCGAGTTCCACTGGGAGGAGGAAATGAAACCAGACTTACCTCCAGAGCTCAACTTTCACAACTGGCAGGGGCAATTTTGGCCTTGATTACCCAACTAGAGCTTGTTTTCTAACCTGCATTTTAAGGGGAAAGCCACGGGTCGGGTTAAGGGCCTAAGGGACCTAAGTGCGGTGACCCTTCCCAGGCTGCCACACCCCGAATCACGCTATGGTGCCACACTATGGGGTACCCCAAACCGTACCCCTTGCCCTTGACTCCAAGCACCGGGCACGGTTCCCGAGCACCCCAGAGGAAGCAGCGGCGCCGCGTAGCCCACCACGCCGCAGCCCTCGGCCAACCCTGCCCAGCACCTTCCGGTTCACGCTCCGTGGTTCCAGCTTTTGCCGGGGTCACGGGCCCTAAACCCGGGACTGCCCCACCCGCCGACCGCAGCCGCTTCGGGGTGCGGGACCGGCATGCTGCCGGGGCCCTCAGGCGCACACGGCCTCTTCTTCCACCCCCGAGCCAATGGCCCTGCCCCCGCCCCCGTATCGTCGGGAGCCACTGCGCCTTGGCGTTCGAATAGGAGACCGGCGCGCGACCCCTGGGGGCCCAGGCCGCCTGGCGCGGAACAAGACCTGGGGCCGCGCGCACCACGTGACCGAGCGTGTTCCCGGCGCCCTCTGGGGGCGCGCAGAGGTCGGGCGGGCCGAGGGCCAATTTCCCATGGTCCCTTCATTTGCATACACAACGTTGGAAGATTAGGGAAAAAATTAGATTTAATCTAGCTATAATCTCAAAGATACAATTACTGTGTGTACGAGATAATAAAAGGTCATAATGCTGTAATTATTTGGGGATTTTTGAAAAGCGCGCAGCATAGTCATCATAACTGTAAAAGCATGTTTCTTTCGAACTTTATATACTGTCTGGGAGAGATCGTTGTTCGTGCTCGCTTCGGCAGCACATATACTAAAATTGGAACGATACAGAGAAGATTAGCATGGCCCCTGCGCAAGGATGACACGCAAATTCGTGAAGCGTTCCATATTTTGTACCCGAGTTTCACTCATCCCTCAGTGCAAACGCTTCCCACATACAGGTTTTATCTTTTGTTTCACACAAAGGAAACTGTAGTCTCAGGAGGTAGAATAAGAGGAGGTGGGGCGCAGTCAGATTTTCTCCTTGCCCTGCTTTTTACGCCCGACCCCAGGCTTGGATCTTCCTCCATGTTGCCCCTGCTTGCCGCTGCTTTCCCCTACACTATCCGGAGTCCTAAGGCACCTACCACTTAAGGAAGCGGATTTGCCAAAGTTGACCCACTTCAGGTCCAAATATAACAGGCCCCTAGTGCTATGATAGACCCAAGGGGACTGTAACAGGACACGCAACAAGACTTCTCTGAATGTCTCTGAATCTTAAAAACATAGTAATGCCCACTCCTTATTAAGCATCTACCATCTGCCAGGGGCTTCCAGTAGCTCAGTACTCCTGACAGCCCTGCCTTGTGCGTACTACTGTCAGCATTTTACAGGAGACCCCAAGAGGCAAAGCACCCTGGCAGTGATCATGTCATGAGGAAGTGGCTGCCGCGAGGCCCGGCAAGACCTTTGGGGACACAGGCCCTGAAAAGATCGGGACCCTACCCCGACGTAATGACTGCAAAAAAGCACAGTCCT